AAACACAGCCCGACGCGTCAGCACTTCCGGGGGCGCCGGCACTGGGTTGTCACGACGCCAGCACAGCTCTCCAGCGACCGCACTCACCCGCAGTCCGAGCAGCCGTGCTCCCTCCGCCGCCCGCTCCGGCGGCTTGCAGTCCAGGCCGTACCGGGCGAAGTGCTCCACCACGTGGTCCGCGCTGACGATTTCTTCGTCCACCAGGAGATCGTCCACATAGGGCAGCACTCCTCGGGCCACCACTTCATCCTGGAGCAGGACGGCTCTTACCACGGCCTTCATGACAGCCGGTGCGATGCTCAGGCCGAATCCGATGCGAGTCAGGCAGTATCTCTGACCTCGCACCTCCACCGTCTGGTACGGTCGCAGCCGCCGATCCAACCGGAGCTGAAGGTACGCCTTCCGCAAGTCCACTACAGCAATGCGAGCGCCATGCCGCCGCCAGCGACGAAGCTGATCGGCGCAAACGTCCGCATCTGCAGTGTGTGCGATTATGTGACCATTCAGCTCACGGTAGTCCAGGACAGGCCTCACCTTGTCCTGATTTGGCTGCGGGACCGCCATCAGAGGGATTAAACCTCGGACTGGGCCATCCACCCGCTCGTCGTACGGCTGCAGCCATCCTTCCCGGATCCACAGCTCCAGCTCGGCGTCATATGCTGATCGAGCTTCCGGCGGCACGGCATACTGGGCGACCTGGTTCTGCAGATACTCCGGGCCTTCCCCGTCTGCCCACTTCCATGCCACCGTCCACTCTCCAGTTCGTGCCTCGAACCGGGCCGAGAAGTCTGCTGCATCCAGCGCCAGCCCTGGGGTCGACCTCAGCCGCCGCCGCCGCACAGATCCGCACGTCTGTCGGCGTCCTCAGGCTGATGCCACCTAGGGCCGTGATGCCCGACATGCCCAGCACCATGTCCACTCCCAATGGACGATCAGGCACGACAAAGGCTGCGAGCGTCACTCGTTTGCCTTGGCACTCCATGGTGACTTTGGCCGTCCCACTACACCGCAACGACCCACCGTTCACAGTCCTCATCATCACCGTCCGCGGTGTCCACTGCTCACAACATCCTTGTGCACGAGCGTGTCTGTGCAACCAGTGTCCACTAATACACGCCGCTCACGACCGTCTACCTTGCTCTGGATCACAGGAGGACGCGATCTATTGCTCCGGGGACAGTGCTCGCGCTGACACGTCCCCCGAGGCGTTTGGGCAGGCCGCGGCGAGATGACCCTCAGTCCCACACGTCCAGCAGCGTCTGGGACGAGGTGGGCGCTTCGGTCGCTGCCGCCGCTGCAGATCATTGTGAACCGCCGCCACAGCTTGCGTCTGGTCATTACCAAGCACCGCCCGCGCGCGGGCGACTGTGCTCTCCAGACTGAGTTGCTCTGACCTGGTTCCTGCTCGGATTGTGTCCGCCACGGACGCCGGCAGACCGTTGACGAAGGCAGCTACCAGCTGTCGGTCCGTCACGCCGCCGAACAGGGCAGCATAGCGGCGCAGACTCGCCAGGAAGACATCAGCGCTCTCTCCCGGCTCTAGCCGACGTGCGACGAATGCTGTGTGAGCCGCGAAGTCGTCCATGGCGAACGCCTTAAACAAGGCGTCTCGTGTCGCCGTTGCTGACCGGCGGTCCACCGCGGACAGCTGTGACCACACGGCGAAAGCACCACCTTTCAGCCGCATGGGCAACACGCCGCCGACACACCGCGATACTCACAGAGCAGTGACGCCTGCGTGTGCCATTCGACGACGTCGCCGCTCCCGTCGTACTCGTCGATGAGGCGAGGATCGAGTCCAGCTCCGAGACGGACCTGCTCAGATTCCTGCACCACAGCGCCCGTCTCTGTCGGTGTGTCCATGATGATGTCGAAATGCCGAAATAGCTTGTAGCGATTTAGAACTCCTGCTTCCACGTAACCAAGAAAGCTATATTCCGCTCTCCTCCGAGCCTCTCAGCCAACTGCCCAGCAATCACACTCCCAACCAGACCATAGCTCTCACGCACACGTCATCGCGCATCATCATTAGCCAATCACATTGTCATACGTCATCCCCTGTGCAACTGATCAGGGGCGTAACCCGGCCGCCCCGACGTCCGGCGGCGGCGGCGGATGACTCACACTGGGTCACCGGGTCACGTCCCGCAGCTCAGTCTCGCCGCGCGCCTGACTCATACGCTACTCACATTCCCTATTGTGTCCATCATGCTACATCACACATCATGTCATTCACTCAACTCATGACCGCTGACTACATTTTTTTCATTTTTTTTTTTTAAAGAAATGTGAGCAAAAAACATAAAAAAACGTCGAAGTAAAGATATTACCATTCAGGTGGCAGCCCAAACGGGATAGTTTTCACAGAAAAGCAGTCGATTCCCCATTCCGAAAATTTCGGCCCCATTCTGCATCAGGCTGGTGTCGTGTCCAATCCAGATTCATGTTATCTTTGCCATAGGGATTGATTTAGTGTAGCATTTTATTCAACTTGACCATCGGACATTGCAGGTTTGACGCCTATTTGCCACACTGACTTCCCTAGAAAAGAGTTCCTCCTATGTTTTATCTCTTTCTCTGTGGCAGGACGTGAGCCGGTTGAACGCAGCGCTGGCGTTCTTCATCAATGACCTGCTGTCGGTGATGGACCGTAGTTTTGTCCTGGGACTGGTGCGCCTCTATTGCCGTGAGATGGCGTCTCAGCGCACCACTACCAGCGGCGCCCAGCTCATCTATCTGAAGGTGAGGCGAACATTGCGTAACTTCAGCATTCAATTACGCCATGCGTTTTTAGCACAGGGACAAAATCGAGGGCCTCGGATAACAAATTTTCACTGGGTGGGCAAATGCCAAAAGTTTGCCCGTAAAGCAAAATTATGTATTTTTCGCTGTATTTAGTTACTAGGATGGTATCTTGGCTAGGATGTTACCTAAAGAGCGGGGATATTACCCACATATGATGAAGTTTTCGCGTTCCTTCGTTTCCGTTCGCGTTCCCTCCAGCCAGTCTCTCGCTCTTTTGCGACACAGCGCCGCTGAGCGAGCCCCTCTCACACCGGCAGGGACGCGATTCCATTGGGCAGGCGTGTAGTTTAAGAAAAACTTCCGTGATACCCAGGGGCTCCGCCACGGTTTTGGGATGGGATGGGGGGGGGGTCCGGCCCAAAGCACAAAACCTCGCTGGTGGATCCAGAGTGGGTATTTGGGCGAATTCACCCCCCCCCCCCCCGAAGCTCCAGAAATCGATGAAAAGGCTCACTTTTTCTAAAGTTCAAAGAAAACTTAACAATTTTATCGGGAAAATTTTGTTTCAAACCGAAAAATCAAGGTCCAGTTTGCACAAGGAATCGAAAACCGAGAAGCGGAGCCCATTGACACCGACATGGTGGCCTCTCAAATCAACGTTCTTGAGGAATGTGGGCCGCTATTGCGCGCTCCAAGGGCGGTGTTAGCCATCAGACAGCGCATTAGTCTTTCAGTGACTGGCATGGGCTTGGGAATTTAGGGACCTTCATAGACGCTCAGATATCCATGTAGGCTCTTAGGCCAGTGCCGGGTCCTCCAAGGCCGTAGTTAATGGAAAGCGCAGGGCTTTAGGAGTCGTTGCAGGGATTTGAAAACCCTGCCCTCATATAGCAGTATGGGGTCTGTCATCCCCGCCACTAGAGTCACACACGCTCGTCTCTCGGCATGAACTGTATTCTCCCCGGCCGGCCGACCCGGGCTGGGCCGACGCACACCTCCAGGCAATCACGTGATTACTGATTAGGGCGGAGCCTCGACAGCACAGCGGCCGCGGCCCGCTCCCGCGCACCGATCCCCGTACCGTATTTGGCCGTCTACAACATCCCTCCCACCCGAATCAAAACATCCAGTTTTGACAACGTGCGGTTTACGCGGCCGTAGGTTGTAGCGCGGCCTCGCCGGAGCCTCGCCGTCCCTAGCTGCGGTGCCCGTCGTCCCAGGCATGTCAGCCATCGGGTCAGCAGCAGGTTCCACAGGCGCAGCATCCATCGGTGCGCCGGAGCCAGCTGGCGTCGGCCCGAACTCCAGTGCGGCCCCGCCGGCAGCGACTTGGGCCGCCGCACAGTGTGGCCAAACACCAGTTTAGCGCGAATTAAATCCCAGCGCTGCTCGGATCCGTTGGAAATGGTTCCCTGGTTTCAAAATTGACACTTAAACCTATGTGAGACCTTTTATGATGCATTATAAATGCTTGCTGACATAAATGCCATAGTTCCGCCTCTAAAAGTAAGGAGAACTATAGCTTACGACGGGTGATGTGCTTACCAGGCCAGGGCTGTGAAGTCGATGGAGTTAATCCGACTCCGACTACGGCCTTCTAAAGTCAATTTCAACTTTGACTCCGGGCAAAACTGTCGACTTATACGATCGACTCGGACTCTGACTCCGCAGCCATCGCAAGTCCACGCAGTCGATGGATTTTCGGTGACTCAGACTACGAGTCTTGGTCCGGATTCCAAAATTGATTCCGATTCCGACTCTGACTGAGGTCAGAACTGTTGACTCCGAACGACTCCGACTCTGATTACGAATCCTGGAATTTAACCGCAAATAAGAGGCAAAAAATTGTGGGTCCCAGCAATGATGGGCATGCTAGTAGGAGGATTCGTTTACGAAATCATAATTTCTTTGGTAAATTCTTATGATTGTCCAAAGTTTGCTTTTAAAAAAATCACCATCTAATTATGTGTCTGTGTGAATGCTCCTGGTGAAGCACATGAATCGGTAGATGGTTGCTGAAATAGACGCGCCGATAGGACTGAACCTCAGCAATGGGAGTAAAACAAAGACTTACACCATAAGCACCTTCATGTCATTAACCCTCGCCCGTATTGGTGTTTTGCTAGCCGCGAACGTAGGTCGGGTCAGGTCAGGTCAGACCAACCAGTCCTGCCGGTATTTATAATTAATAGGTGTCAACCGCCAGTGACTGCTTCGTTGCATGTTACGAAGGCACCAAAACTTCTTTCTAAATGTTCAAATGCTTACTAAATTCGAAATCAGCTCCAAAAACTAGCCTGGAAGCATGTAAAACTAAAAAAGGTGAACCGAGGTCATCAAAGGTCATTGAACTGACCTGACCTTCAAGTGATCTTGACACCAACCATAATGCATGGGACCAACATCATAATATCACATGTTTAGACGCTTGAAACCACGAAAAGACTGCAAACGCGCGGCTAATGCAAGCAAACATACGCCCAATCTTGATTCCGGCCAAACATGGTCTCGAGAAATGGGTCACAGGTCAAAGGTCATTGGGGTCAGGGTCGTGAAATTTAAAGGGTAGGTGTAAAATTGAGAAACTCGAGGGTACTGAAAGTTTCGTCGCGATCGGCCGCTTTTTACATGAGCTTTTTGCAAAAAACCGAGAGGTGTCCTTTCTGACCCCCACCCTCACCCCCTATATGGGCGAGGGTTAAAAAAATTGCCAAGATTTATTCATTGGCGACCGTATTCTGCAATATAACAAGTTAGAAATACAGCGGTTGAGCCATCCGCGTAAGGTTACGGAGCCGCCGCCGGCCCACCCTGTAGCCGGACCTCCCCGGGCGGGCCAACCCGATACGTTCAAAGCTGAGCCAAAGGCGCGGGGGGGGGGGGGCAGGTTGGGGCAGGGTTTCTTGAATGGATCATGTCCAGAAAGGTGTGGCGAATCTTCTCATCGTAGATTTGGCGTGGAGTTTTTTGGCCATTTTCTTATATCTCTACGTTTTTAAGATGGACAGTGTTTTCAGGGGATGTCTGAAAAGGTCATTTTCAAATTAGCATAACTCATCGGTTAGTCCAAGGATACCTATAGAATTCGGGTATACTATCAAATATAGGCTCAGTAGTCATATGCCACTCCAATTATTTCCAAACCTTTCCGACAATTACGCAAAAATGCGTTGTAAACGTGACGCGGGTTTTCGACGATTTCAGCACAGCCGGGACCGGCATTGCGTATGTCCACTTTAGCTAGCTTTTTGGACACCGAAAGGAAGACATTGAACCAAAGTATTGTGATATTGACATACTTTGGACAATTTCTTATCGACTGATGGTTATAAAAAGTCAAAATTCCAAAATTCGTTTTTTTATTAAATTCGCGCTAATCTGGCGTTTGGCCACACTGTGCGCCGGCGCCGCCGACGGTGTCACCAGCGGTACAGCAGCGCAGCAGCGGTGGGGGCCACCGTCACGGCTTCATCTGCGTCCAGTGGCCATTCTTATAAAGAAAAGAACGGAGGGACGCTCCGTCATTTCTGAGATTAGACGGAATTTTGTTATCATAAAAGGACGAAGACGAAAGACGGAACCCGTTAAAAGAACGAAGCCAGATTGACGCTACCCCCACCCAAAAGGACGCGTTTCCGTATTATAAAGAGACAAAGACGCCTCTGGTGACGTAAGACTTTGCGTTGTTCGTGAAAAATAACGCATCAGAAATAGCGCTGCTCTTCAGCAGCGCTTTTTTACTTCATTGATACGACATTTAGCTGGTTGCGAGAGCAACTTGTGCGAAATGTGTTTCAGGCTGTATGCTAATCGATATGTGAACTGTATGACATTGGTCGGGAGTTATTTCACACGAAAATTAGTCAATTTGACATGCAGAGCAAGTACCTATAGACCGCCACCTTATCGATCTGCAGCTATCGTTGTTTATCAGGCATACACATTAACAGGCAGGATTGGACAGTGGACACCTTGAGATGCAATATCCAGTAAGTGGTAGGTGTTTGCAACTGCCTCCCAGTAGCTCCACCCTCACCTGGCCTGTGTCCTGTGTCCTCTGGCGCCTCGACTGGTATCACGGTTGGAGGTCTGAGTCACGTGGCACTACAACTTCTCGTTAGCACTTAAAATTCTTGTTTGCACGCAGAGAAATTTATACACTCCGCCATGCTCAAGCGCTCTCGCTGGACTGTCCTCGCTGTCCCCACACAGAGAAGATCCACAGGCCATTTCTTCCCCCGCGCCCCTCCCCCTCTTTAGCGTCAGTTCGTCAAAACAACACCTGCGCCCCCCGTCTCTTCTCTCTCACTCTCTCTCTCTCTCTCTCTCTCTCTCTCTCTCTCTCTCTCTCTTCTCTCTTCTCTCTCTTCTCTTCTCTCTCTCTCTCTCTCTCTCCTCTCTCTCTCTCTCTCTACCTACTCCTTCCCTCTCTCCCTCCCTTTCATCCCGAGCCGTCGCGCGCGTTCGCCGCGCGCCGCGTCGTCCCCTAGAGCGATAAGTTGCCTTACCAGTATCCCTCCTCTTTTATCTCTACCGCCTGTCCCGAGCCGCCACGCTAACTCAGGGTGTCTGCGTTGTTCCCTTACCGCTTATTATTAGACACCCTATCACTGAGTAAGACATAGGCATTACCACATTTATACGCAAAAACAATCTTTGGTGGGTTTCAGCCTAGCAGGAAAGACTACAACATATTACATACTTCTATCCTTGATCGTAGCCAAGGCTATGTGTCGTAGCAGACAACAGCCCCCGGTCCCATTAAAATTCAAATTTGATCCCAAATAATTGCAGGTTCTCATTTTATTATACCTATATAGCGATCACACAGTATTTTCTTAGTCTTATTGCATTCTTTGTGACGATATTTATTAGAAAATATTGCAGGAAATAATTCCTGTTTCATTTACTAAAGCTCTTGATCATTTAGACGAAAAACGCATCCTAGCAAAACAACGAAGGGGGAGGGGTGGAGGGACGGAACCTTTATGATAACCAATAAGGACGGAATCGTTTAATTCATTGTGTTCTTTTTTTCCTTCCGGGGCGTTCCACGACAAATCGACAAATAAAAAATTAGATTTGCACCATCATATTTTATTCTTCGTTGAAAACTGGTGTAAGGGGTTGTGATCGGCGGGGAAGCCAGCTGTGGCAAGGATTTTTTTCTTCGAACAACGGTTTCCGAGATATAGCCTCGGGCAATTCCTGGAGTTCGCGCTGCAGCCCTATGTTTGGCGGCCTATAACTCAGAAACTATTGGTTTTTTACGATAAAAACTTTATATGGTTCAACTCACAATCAACCAACAAACATTTTGGCTATCTCGAATTTTCAATTTTTAAAAATTTTGATCACGTGACCTTTTGTCCTATTTTTCGAAGAGTGACCTTGATATTTCCCCACTGAAAGTTGCAATTTTGTCTGATGACGATTAAAGCCTTATCAATTGTCACTCATATGCGATAATAAAAAAGTGGTTATCGCCCTGCGTTGACCTCAGGTCAGGTCATTTTTATGACCTGTCCATTATTACGAGCGGGAGCGCAGCGAGATCTCGAGAATAAAGCAAGATAGCGACAAGCGGTAAACGGTAAAGGGTACACACGGATAAGGTCTATAATTTTTACTGAGGTCATTTTCAGGTCAAGTCAAAGATGACGTCACAGGAGCGAAAAGGAAGTCAAAATAGCGGCACTATACATATATAAAGTTTTTCTCGAATAACTTTCAAGGTATCCCAGCTAGGAACAAACTAATAGCACCATCGTGATCCTCTCGTCGATCCGCATCGAAACATATGTATGTTGACCTCGAAAGGTCGAAAGGTCAAAAGTTGACCTTAGATCACGTGACCTAAGGTCAACTTTTGACCTTTCGACCTTTCGAGGTCAACATAGGTCACATGAGCCCAACTTTACTAAGGTTGTGTGATACATGTTTTATGGCCAATTTTTCATTTTCAACTCAATGGTGTTGGTTATAAGACTATCAGGTACGGTTTAGGTCACTTTCTGGTGAAGTTCAGGTCAAGGTCAGGTCAAGGTCAGGCCAAAAAGGTCAAATTTTAAAGTTGATAGTTTTGCATAAAATGGGTATTGATTCGATGCAGCTCGTCACGGGGAGTCTAATGGTGGTCTTTGTTTTGCGCTACGGGGTCTAGAATTGCTTAAAATTGAGTTTGAAAATTTGACGTCATCAATTTTGAACAGTTTTTTTCGCTATAACTTTGCCAAAAAAGAGGTATCAATCTCAAATTTGGTATGTGGATGGAAGGCGTTAAGGACTATCACATATATTCCGGTTTTTGCGAAATTCAAAAAACTTTTTGGATTTTTCGATTATTATATCCAAAAAATCTATTTTTTGATTTTTGGGGGTCAAAATCCAAAAATTTCAAAAATCCGAGATAGCAGTTTGTAGCCCTGTCCAATCTACAGCTTTTATGTCCTTATCATTTTTCTGTATTTGCAAAGCTATAGGCCTGACAGGTCTTCCCGCGAAACCCTTTTTTGGGTCGAAAACGGCAGAACATGACGTCACTCTGACGTCATTTCCGGCCAACCTATCATAGCCTTTGGAAAAGTTTTTGGTCACAATGTGTAAAATTGATGTCCGGGAGGGTACTGAAAGTTTGGTGACGATCGGCGCAGCGGTTCTGGAGATATATCGAAAAGTCTGGGGGGGGGGGCAAAAAATAGCCCCCCCCCACCAGGTCGCGGGTTAAGAGGAAACAATTATTTACCTAGTTCGGTTTGACAGTACAAGGCGCAAAACAATGTGGTATTCAAAATAGCCTTGTTATACAAATGCAGAAGCAACGTGTACCAGTCCCATCGCCTTTTTTCTTCCACCCGTATTTAATTGATCGCTTAGGGGATGTACTGAGTGAGTAGAAGCCGGAGCCGGAGCCGCCGGAGCCGGATCATTTTACTCGGAGCCGGAGCCGGAGCCGCCATGACATTTCACCCGGAGCCGGAGCCGGAGCCGGAGCCGATTTTTTCTCCGGAGCCGGAGCCGGAGCCGGAGCTGTCTGAAATTTCCACGGCTCCGCATCCCTGGCGAAACGGCAAGGGGGAGGGTCCAACGGACCCCCCCCCCCATATACGTTCGCAGCTGGAAAACACCAATACGGGCGAGGGGTAATGGATTATTAAAGACAATTTTCCAGGTTGCCCCCCCCCCAGTCAAATTCCCTTAAAATAGGCCTCCCCCTGGTCCGCCGCCTGTGAGTGTGCGAGGTGTGCGAATGGTGCTCAGGCGTATGTACGCTGTGTCAGTGGAGTTCCTGACAGTGGCCAAATAGCCTGTGGCTGCGCTGTCCAGCTGTGCAGCTAACCACTGTCCTAATTGCAGCTGGACTTTCTGCGTATCGTGTGCTCGCACGAGCACTACTTTTCGCTGAATCTGCCGTTTTGTACGCCGCTGAGCGGTGCTCTGGTGGCGGCGTCTCCGACACCGTCGGTGGGCTCGGCCAGCTCGCAGTCCTCCTACCTATCCACGCTGGTGGCTAACGAGCGGCCGCGCTTCGGCGAGCTGAGCGTCCACTTCCTTCAGCAGCACTACCTGGCCGGCCTGGTGCTGCAGGAGCTGCGGGCCACGCTGCCACCCAGGTCAGTCACAGCTCATAGGTATACGGCATCCCGTTCGGCCCTCAGCGCCGTCCACTGACACGACTGGAACGGTAGCAACCGGCCACGAGGCGTCTGTCACCCTTACGAGTTGATGCATGTTATAGGTACCTGTTTTTCAATAACAAGTGGTAGAAAAACATGCTGGTGGAGTAGCCCTACACCACCGATTCTGGTTTGTTAGGTAGAGGTGCCCTCTCTTCTTGGTAATGGTACCCGAATCTGCATGGTACTGTAAACCCATGCCAGGTACATTTGCTATAATGTATGTCAAAAGAACCATAGGTGTACAGGGACCCAAAATAAATGGTGTGTACTTATTTCTGTCCGGGTTTTTATATCCGGAGAAATCGGGATACCGGTACTCATAAGTGTAAAATTACCGCCAGAGGGGTAAATTTTTCTCTGCTGCACTTGCAGAGAAATATTTACATTAGAAATCTGGGTATTTAATTAATGCACTCAGAGTTTTGTGGTTTTTCGCGAATATCTCAAAAACGGCGGCGCGGAGCGCCGCCGTTTTTGGTATACCTTATCATACATCAATTCTACACATGTTGTGAAAATTTCAGACGAAGGTCATTCAAGGTCAGGTCACCAGGTCACTTGAAGTGACCTCACCTCATAAAAAGTTTCAATGTCTGTCATAGCTACAACGAGTGACCGATCGCTTTGAAACTTTCAGCGATTGCTAAGAGCAATAGCATGTACAAAAGATATATCTCAGAATTTTGATATCGATGACCTAAGGTCAGGTCAATTTTGCGACCTCCCCATTATAAGTCAATGGGAGAAAATTGAAATGCGCCTCTTTTGGACGAAAGACATGATAAACACTCCCAAACACTGAATTACAAGTGGTTTAGACACACTGAACATGAAAATGGTGTCCGTGACCCCTGTTTATGCCCTGAGGTCATCTTAGGTCACGAATGGTATCTAACTGTATTGCTGTATTGAATATAATTCGTCAGTGTCTGCTTTTTCCGGAGATTACAACACCATTGATATCCTCGCTCTTTATAAGTAGAAGATCTGACCGTGAGACAAGACAGTCGGATAACCTAGATCTGGTTGCTCCGCGAACAGCTTTTATGAAATATTCACTGTCATATCATGGCTCTAAGTTGTGGAATAGTTTGCCCACTAGAATGAGGAATGCCTCAAAATTTGAACTGAAAAAATACCTCCTAGCAAAAGCAAATACTGACAACTGATGATCACGTTTCACCCAATGTGTGCGAATGTACTCGTATGTGCCCTGCAGTGCACTGTACCGTTAAACGTACCAACCATCACTGTTTACCGCATGAACAGACGTGTTGGCAGACGTATGCATGGATCCGAGAGCTGGATCTATGATCTCAGCGGATCTCTCGACAAAATAGAGGGGTTGGATCTATGATCCGAGTGGATCTCTCGACAAAATTCAGGGGTTGGATCTATGATCCGAATGGATCTCTCGACAAAACTTAGGGGTCAGATCTATGATCTCTGTGGATCCAGCGGTAGGGTGACGGTTTTGCAAAAAGTTTCGAAAAGTTTTGCTCCCCAGGTCTAATCTAACGTATTTGGGGGTGCTGATCACGAAGCCGGCGGAAAAAATAAAAAAATCGATTTTTTTTTGACCGCCCCGGCTCTTTGAATATTTCCGGTTTTCTCAATTTTGCATGTTTTTGAATAATATGATGAATGTAATGAAAAAATATTAACAATGTATCGCTAAATGCATGTACCAGTCGATTCGGCATACAGCGGCGTCGAAATCGGCACGCCGCCTGCTTCACCGGCCTCGCAGGAAAGCATAAGGCGCGGAAGGTTTGCGTTAGTTACCCGATTTCTCCATAGATGGCGCTGGCGTAGCCGCCCGCCGGCCGGTCGTTGCCGTGCCGTTCACAGCCCCGGCGGTCACTTGCGACCGTCGTGGTCGTTATGCTACGTCTATCAAAGCACGACAGAAATGTTCACTTCATTTTTATGTTACTTCAGACATATTTTAGACCTAATGTTGAATTGGATAAATGACTATCGTGAATTGGCGAAATAGTGGAGTGCGCTCGGGAGCCATTTACAATAGCGAGGAACGTAGGTGGATTGATCTGAGTAACATATTATGACACTGCGTTCACTGTTGATATGAAGTTTATTCACACTATGTAGTCGGGTGACATGAGAACAAAGTGACTAACATACCTTGTGTACGACACATGGATGAAGCTAATGCTACTTTTCATTTTGTTTCGGTAGGCCCGTTTGTTCAGAGCGTAGCCGTCCTGTCGGTCTGCGCCTGTTACAGCTGTGACTGATTCGGTGGTCAGCTTTACAGCCCTTTCGGTGGATTGGTATGGCAGGGGACCCCCGTTTAAGGGAGTCTGTAGAAAGTCGCGCAACTCATCCTCGCTCATGTGTCGTACACAAGGGGGCTCAATGTCTCGGCCCTCGTCAACCGCTCGCTGCACGTTAACCAGTTCCATATAGTTGTTCGCTTGAACGTTAATTTCCGGCAGCCGGAAGTGCCGAATGGGCTGCTGCTGTGGCGGTGGGGGTGGCAGCTTTGGCGGCGGTCGTGGCGGCGGTGCCGGCGGTGGTGGTGGTGATGGCCGCCGCCGTTTCAGACGCGTTTGCCAGCAGCTGCGCCGCCAGCGGCTGAACTTCACTGGCGTGTCGCTGGCGTGCATGCAAAGTAGCGTCGAGAGGATGCTTACATGGCTCATGAGGAAAATGTGCTGCTCGCCATGCTCGGCGATGAAAATCATGGCATTAGGGCAGATGCAGTCCGCATAATCCAGAGCATTCGTCAAAAAAGGCAGCGACAGGAGCAGCCGCCGTTCCCGCCCCCGCCACAGCAGAAGCAGCGGCGACAGAGGAGGCGGCCATCGCCACCACCGCCACCGCCGCCGCCGCCGGCGCCGGCGCCGCCCCCGCTGCCGCCGCCACAACAGCAGCAGCGGCGTCTGAAACGGCGGCGGCCATCACCACCACCACCACCACCACCACCACCACCACGACCGCCGCCAAAGCTGCCACCCCCACCGCCACAGCAGCAGCCCATTCGGCACTTCCGGCTGCCGGAAATTAACGTTCAAGCGAACAACTATATGGAACTGGTTAACGTGCAGCGAGCGGTTGACGAGGGCCGAGACATTGAGCCCCCTTGTGTACGACGCATGAGCGAGGATGAGCTGCGCGACTTTCTACAGACTCCCCTTAAAACGGGGGTCCCCTGCCATACCCAATCCACCGAAAGGGCTGTAAAGCTGACCACCGAATCAGTCACAGCTGTAACAGGTGCAGACCAACAGGACGGCTACGCTCTGAACAAACGGGCCTACCGAAACAAAATGAAAAGTAGCATTAGCTTCATCCATGTGTCGTACACAAGGTATGTTAGTCACTTTGTTCTCATGTCACCCGACTACAAAGTGTGAATAAACTTCATATCAACAGTGAACGCAGTGTCATATGTTACTTATATCAATCCACCTACGTTCCTAGCTACTGTAAATGGCTCCCAAGCGCACTCCACTATTTCGCCAATTCACGACAGTCATTTATCCAATTCAACATTAGGTCTAAAATATGTCTGAAGTAACAAAAAATGAAGTGAACATTTCTGTCGTGCTTTGATAGACGTAGCATAACGACCACGACGGTCGCAAGTGACCGCCGGGGCGTGAACGGCACGGCAACGACCGGCCGGCGGGCGGCTACGCCAGCGCCATCTATGGAGAGAATCGGGTAACTAACGCAAACCTTCCGAGCCTTATGCTTTCCTGCGAGGCCGGTGAAGCAGGCGGCGTGCCGATTTCGACGCCGCTGTATACCGAATCGACTGGTACATGCATTTAGCGATACATTGTTAATATTTTTTCATTACATTCATCATATTATTCAAAAACATGCAAAAATTGAGAAAACCGGAAATATTCAAAGAGCCGGGGCGGTAAAAAAAAAAATCGATTTTTTTATTTTTTCCGCCGGCTTCGTGATCAGCACCCCCAAATACGTTAGATTAGACCTGGGGAGCAAAACTTTTCGAAACTTTTTGCAAAACCGGTCACCCTACCAGCGGGCAAAAATTTGTGGAGGACCTATGATCTGTATGGATCTCACGACAACATGTAGCCAATGAAACCCTTTCCTACATAATTGTACACCTTACAGTGCAATACAATTGAGAATTGTCACTTGTGGACATGGTTAAGACCAGTTGTAATCATTAGGTATCATCATTAAATTTGAATTTAAATCAACAACATTTGTACTACATTAAAAATAAACAAAGAACATGCACATTGCTACTTTTTGTGACCAATTGTCACTTTTTCATGACAGCACTGATGACAATCTCATCAACAGGCTTTAATTCAATGAACAAACAGTACAGATAGATGCAGTGGCAGCGGGGCACTGTAGACTTTTGGTCCCATTCTTTCCATGCAACGCCAGTAGGGCTAATGTTAAAATGCCAAAATCTATGGGGGGGCACGGTGCCCTGATGCCACTCCCTCCCCCGTTCCGCCGCCTATGGACAGATGTTAGGAAATCAAACCTGGAAGCCAAATAGGTCAGTTTTGCTCAAAATAATCCAGCAATCCACTTCTACCAGGTATGAAAACCCAATCCAAAATGCTCGTATGAGCTATTGGTATGTGCAACACAATTTCGATATAGTAAGAATAGCAACCAACCTCTAATACTTTCCAAATAAAATTCCAAGTTCAAAAATGGCATCAACTTCTTCAGATTACTTACTTTTGGCATCGTGCCACGTGTGGTGCCATGCTGTGCTGTCGTTATGAGAGAGTCTCCCAATAAAAGACAAACGAAATTTTTAGCTCACGTTTTGGTAATGTTGTTTTATTACGTCATTATCGTTTAACCAATGAAAAATCTTAATTTGACTAAAACCGTAATGATTCCAAAAGGTTCCCCGTTATAGGCCCTTCAGACTAATAACGTAAGATGTTGTGATTCTTTTG